TCGGGTCTCGGGTCTTGGTTCCGAATGTGGTCTGGTCTGTTCTGCAATTCCTGGTACTTATCGTGCAACTCGGGCCCGCGCTATCACCGGAACTGAGAGATGGTTCTGCTCTGCTCTCGCCGCTGCTTATCTTCAGACTCAGCTTGGACCGTACTCGAAATCTTTGGCCTGCCATGTGGTTGGTCGCTTTCTGTAACGCCGTCTGGCGTGAGATGGCAATGATCTTGAATTTCGCTGAACTTTGCTCGAAAATCATTCGCAAACGAGTCAAAGTCAAAGTCGAAGTCGGAGTGGGTCAACGGGCCCTGATCACGTCATGTTAGGGGCAAGGGGAAGGGTAATGGGGATGGCTGTATGCTCCTGATAATCCTTGGTAAAAGGCAGGCCTCCTTCTAGAACCCCCGTAGGCACGCGTATGTTCAAGGTCTGGGCCACCCCCTGGGTCTGCTGTATGCAAGGGGGGGCTGGCTCAAGGTCACTCACGTGTTGTGCACGTACGACTGTTGTGGATACACACACTCACATACATATTTACATACACATGTACATATGTACATATTTACAATATGAACCAATATCCCGTCCAAGCCGATTTCCGTTTTGGATGCTCAACGTAACCAACCGCGCAGAAATTTCTTAGAGCTTTGCTCGTCTTTATGTCTTTTTCCATATCCATTTTCATTTTCATTTTAATTTCCACTTTCATTTCCGTCCGCGCCAAGCGGCCAAATACGCGGAACTTTCCATGGATTATGCGACTGCATTTTATTTGAGATGTGGCGTCGGCCCGTGTTTTTGACGTCTGTTTCGGTTTCTGTTTGTGGCGCGCCAGCGTTGCACGTTGAAATGCCCGTGTGGCACTGTGGCAGCAGCCAGGACAGGCAGACAGGCAGCTGTGCTGTCAACTGCCGGCGACCCAGCGACGGAGCCACCAATCGACCCACCAGCCAACATTGAAAGGGAACCCGGCGCCGGCACAGCCACAGCCACAGCCACAGCCATGGGGCACATGGCAGGTCACAGCAGTCGATGCCGATGCCGTAGTATTTGACGTGTACGAGAAAGTAGTACTACGATTCGCACACACACACACACACAGACCCGTAGCACTCGTACACACACACATCCAGATGCACAGATGCAGGGGCACAGGCACGGGCACGGATGGATGGAGGCACGTGTACGTACGTACATGTATACGCCGTACAGTATGCGGTTCATACGCAACGTGACCCGATCTGCGCCTGCGTCTGTTTTGATATGAAAAGACATTGTCCTCTTTGGCCTTGCTTTCTTTTTCGTGCGGCAAACAGTTGAGCTACGTGCAAAAATCAGGGGTACATGTACTGATGGATGCTGCTGCAGGTGCAGGATACTAATGCAAATATCCTTTCGCTTTTCTCCCAAGAACAAACCTCGCACTCTTTTCATCAAGATCATTTCGATCAGAGTGTGGAAAATAGCTCCCAATGCCCTGCGCTCCATAAAATACATAATAATAAACACACTAGCGTCATTTGTATGTGGTAGGTTTAATTTTATACAATTAATTGCAACAGATGATATCAGAATATAATCTCGCTGACTTTCGTCTCAGAGTCCTTTGTTTCAATGCCTTCATTGTCTTCCCAATGCGACCCTTCTTCTGCTTCAAAAATAATATCAGCTTCAGAATTTTTCGAGCTGCGCAAATACATTCGACTTTTAACGTCGATGCGTATTGGATAGATCTTTCTTCGAATAGATCTTCATATGCAGGTGGCATTCTGGTATCACAGGACAACCATTCGACTGTTTTCCTAATACATTTGTAACGGAACTGAACTGATCACAAGTCATGGGGGTCATAGAGATCTTAACATCTACTAAACATCTACAATTGACTTTGTGCACAATAAAAGAGGGAATGCTGGGAATGATAATCTGATCTCCTCCAACGGCTGCCACATAAATCTACGAGAGAAGCAGAAACGGAATGGATTGGACTATGGAATGGATTGGCATATGTGCTTACATATCTTAGAGGCTATACATACCGACTTGAAATGTGTATTCTCACAATATTTCATGTGTTTTCCAGTTCCGGGATACGTACATATATAAGGATTGCGTTCAGGGGTCGGGGGAGGTCTGAGTTTTCTGACTTCGCTAAAGTGAGGCATCGAAAAAGAGGTCCATTATGCACAAATCTGAAGATTAACACTCTGATTGATCTCGTTTTATGTCACAAAAGTTTGCACACTACATTTGGTTTCACTTTGTTCTATAATCGCTGAGATCCAGATGATTTCGAGATCGAATCGGCTATGGATGACTATTAGAGCACTCATTCAACACGTATTTTTTGTTTCTTTTACTGTTTGAACCGAAAAGTGCAGTTTTTTTCGCGCTCACTCTCTGGTAGAGGGAATGGGCAAGCAATACAATAATTCCATTCCATATGGGATAATGGGTATCCATCATATTCGATTTTCATGCATCTGAAACCGTTAAATTCGAAACGAGTGTGAAGTTGAATCCTTTCGTTCCATTCTCTCCGTTTATCAGTCATTTATACATCTTGGACCTCTTCAGGACTTTTAGGAGTCAAGGATTGTAGGGTATTGCCAGAGGTCCTCCTGGCTGGACAGAAATTTGCTTAACCTTCAGGTCGGGCGTCCGTCCTCCTGCACGTTTTCCGCTCATTTGTTTGGCCTTGTACTCCAGTCTGTTGTTGCTGCTATCGCATACACATTCATGCACACACCCACATACGCACACTCACGCTAATGGCTGGCTTACCGTTATGTTTGGGCAGACACTATCGATTATTCTTACCGATTTGCCACACCCACAGCCTCGAAGGCAGCAAAGCCAAAAGCTTGCCTGCATCTGCTTCAAATGCTTGGCTAACGGTCGGGGCCAGCTTAAAGCTCAAAGCTCAGTCGGAAGGCGGGAAAATGAAAAGCTAAAACAGTTTTCCCGGCAAGCTTCAAGCCCAAGAAACGGTACAATGGAAATGAGATAATTTAAGCACAAAAAATGTCATCTCCCGTTGCGTTTATTTCCGGTTCGTCTCTCCGTTTATTAATTACATTTATAATTACTCATATTGTACATATATGTATGTATGTGTTATACATATGTGTTCATGTATGTATACGGCATATGCATATGTATTTGTATAATATATATTTAGATATAAGACATCCAGCTGCAGGTTCTGGCCAAATCGGAACGCGTCTAGGAACCAAAGAAATCCAATTGCACACATGCACAAGTCAAGGCGAAAGTTCTGAGCCATCCTCATCCATACGAGTATTTGTGTATGTATGTATGTACTTATGCTTATATATCTATTATATATTTGATATAGAGTTCCCCGAAATGGAGAAAGAGGAAAATTATGGACCAGGACCAAGCTTAGGTCTGGTGGAAAAAGGTACTCTTCCAAGTAGTAGAACCAGACACAACCTTAAGCTCCTTTCCGGCAACAAGTCGTTCTCCAGAAGTTCTCCTTCACTCTCTTGTACCGCCGGTTCCTCTAGGGCTGGCTAACATCTTAGTCAATTCTACGTGGCTTTGCTTTCACTTAGTTTAAACGCCCGCACGCACTGCGTCTCCTGTCTCCTGGTAAGAGAGATGTCAATTCAAATTACGATGATGGAAACCAAGTATCAGAATTTCAACGGGAAACATATGCATTTCGTGGACGTTCCCGTTTCCGTCCTCTTTCCCATACGAGAAAAAATTAAATTTGAGATCATTTAGCGGAATAGCTGGACTTTGCAAGTGTATCGGAAGCTTCGGCATGCCATGGACTTCTGAAACATCCGCTCACCCCCATGCACAGACATATATGTATGTATATGTGAATGTATGTACTATGTATATAGTATATTCTGATATACGAATGCATGCTTTCTACTTGATATTGTACGATTTGTTAGAGTTAAACAATTACATAAATTCTTTAAGGTTTGCATTTCGTTAAGCAACACATCGATATCGATATCAATATAAGTTTAAGTTTAAGTTTAAGTTTAAGTTTTACTTTAGTATGTTATGTCGTTAAAGATTTGGTTTTTTGTTTGGTTTTTGATTTTTTGTCGGGGTTTGGTTGTATTATTATTATATTGTAGTATTCCCTTGCAATGTAAATATAACTCTCTGTATTTGTGGTATTTTGCCAATGTTTGTGTCGACTCTCGCTAGAATTATGGTATGGGTATATCTATGTGCAATGTAATGGTGTTGGTATTCTGATGTATGTATGTATGTAAAAATGTAACATGTACTTTTGTATACATATAGAATTTATAGCTTCGTTTCACTTTGGCCCATTCGTCCGGTCGTCCGTTCTGAACCATCCTTAACATGCTCTCCTAAATACTATCATCCTTTAACATCTCCATATACATAGGTATATTAATATATATAGATCTCTATTCATTATTCATTATTCAGTTGTATTTGCTTTTGGTGTCTTTGGTGTTTTCATTGCGTTTTCAATCTTAACCTTTGTTTTTTCTTAATCCTCGAACTCTCGACTCTCTCTCGACCTCGTGGCCCTATGCGCTCGCCAGGCTCGCACAATTAGCCAACACTACTAGCTACTAGCTAACGGTAAACAACAAAAAATCACTACTTACACGCACATAATCCTATCGATAAGAGTGTGTGTTGGGTATTTTTTTTTTTTGTATTTTTTGGTATATTACCCTTTCAAAGAAACGAAAAGACTTCTTAACTATGCATTTGCTTTCGGTTCCGTTTTCTGGTACTGTTTCTGTTGGAGTTTCTCTCGTTTTTCATTGCGTTCATTTCCAACACTGCTTTACGCTGCTCAACACTGGCGCCGATAAGAGAAACCCAGATCTATCGACCTATTGTCTACAAAAATACGCTTGCGCTGTGTTAGGTACATGGAATGGGGTTCGAGCACTAATCTATACACACAGATACTATATATTGTATTGTAAGTACGTTTATATGTATGTACCGTATACGGTATACGGGGGTATATATGTATATATATATGTATATATGTTGTATAACGCTATATGTTCCTGCATCATGTGGAAAAAGGAAGCTGCAACTAGACACACAAACACGGCTAAAAGGTACACAGAGACACATATAAAAGACGATAAGTTTGCTTTTGCCTTCGATCGCCCTCTACCATCTCCGTTACGTTACGGGAGCTCGTTCACGGTTCAAGGGCTCTCGGTCCGGGGACATTTACGTCGGGTTTTTTTACGGTTAGTCTTGCTTGTGAATGAGTAAATTTCATGGTCTAATATTGGGGTCTAGAGATTTACCTTTGGTCTACAACATTCATTTGATTTGATTACGAGTATACTATATGTATGTTTGTATGTATGTAAGTACTATATTTCGCGCTGAGAGTGGGAAACCAGAGGCAGAAGAGATGCCAATAAAAAACCATGGCTGGTACTGGGATAGGTACTACGTAATTGGTAATTGGAGCGATAATAGCGGAGGAGAGCAAGAGAGATACATAGATACATAGATAGCAAGGTACGTTTGAGGCGAGAGGCTTCATTTACCCTCGTATTGTAATGTATTGTATTTGTATTTGTATTTGTATTTGTATTTGTATTGTATTGTTAAGATCAATCATCATCTGAGTCTGATTCCGATTCTGATTCTGAGTCTGATTCTGAGTGTATTATTGGAGAAATATTGAAAACCGTTTGTAGGAGACCGTTTAGTTTAGCTTCAGTTGGTATATAATTGTATTCTTTGTTGGACTTCGCCTTCGTTCGAAACTACCCGTACTCGTAAATTCTTAGGAGATGGTGCACGAGTTGCGCTTGGCGCCCATGCTCCGCTCTTGGATGCGCTGCAGGTGTTGCAGCTGTGCCGGCGTCGGAGCATGCGAGCCATGGCCGCCACCGGCAGCTCCGGCCGCCGCTGCCGCCGATGTGGAGGCCGATCCGGAGGCTGATCCCCCAGCGGCCCCGCCGTGGTGGTGGTGGCCATGATGGCCATGGCCATGATGGTGGAGCGGGGTGCCCGGCCCGTTGTTACCGATCTGCTGGGGCAGCGACTGGCGGCGACGCCGTAGAGCCGGACTCAGGTTGTAGGTGATCTTGGCCTGGGTCAGCAGCTCCTTGAACACCTGTGGGTTGAAAGAGCAGATCATTGGATTGCCATTGGATCAGTGGGGGTTTTTTTTGTTGGATGATGTCTGAGGTCTCACCTGTGTGACGTTTTCGTTGCTGGCGGCCGAGGCTTCGACGAATCCGTTCTCCCAATCGACTGTCACCACCGACTCTGTGGTGGCGTACTCCACCTGGAAAAAGATTGGAATACGCATTGCTTAGACTTTTACCAATCCGATTTTTTCCCTAAAAACCACTACCGGCAAAAGAATAACAAAAGGGAAATAGAAATCACAACATAGGTACGTACACTCTCTCTACTTTCAGTCGGATGTTACACTGAATTGTAAATAAATTCCATTGAAGGAGCTTCAAAGGGTTTCTAGATTGCATCAGTATAGAAATTGTTAATTCTCACTCAGATTCAAAGTTCGCAGTAGGCCATATAATATTGTAATAGTCAGAATAGGTATACATTTCTATTTCGATTCAGTTACTGGAAGACTTTCAAAGTGTAGGGACCGGATTTTAAAAAAAAATTAAAATCCGAAATATGGACGGAAAAAAGAAAAACTTCGGTCGTTTTTTGCAGTGTCAGGGGGAGGATGACTCGGATCGTTCGATAGACGGTAGCCGCATCCAAGAGCCTCCCTTCGACCTGAGGAACAGGTCCTCTCGCGGGTTGGGTGCCGAACTCAACTCGACTGGACTCCTTACCGCCGGTAGCCACGTCTGGCCGTCGGTCTTTGTGCCACCACCGCAGCAGCCGCCACTCGCACGCCACCCAGCCGCCGCGCCCCGCAGGAGCCACGAGGAGAAGCTTGCTCAGGGACAGATCATCAAGCTACTGGCCGTCCAGGAGAAGACTCGCACACTGGTCCGCAGCATCAGCAAGCAGTTGCCCACCGCGGACCACCGCCGGCTATTCCACGAGGATGTGGTCCGCCAGCAGCTTCACATGGAGCGTCAGCACCAGTCGCTGCTCAAACAGCGACTGCTCTCGGTGAAACGGGCCAACTCCGGCTCGGTCATTCGTCAGTATGCCCCCATACGTAGACACTATCCATGGCCGCCTATGACGCAGGAGGACTATGCCGCTTTGGAGGCTCGTTTGGTTGCGGACTTGGCCAATCTGTCGTTGACCACTAAGCCGGCTGCTGCCACTGCCCAGACAGAAACCACCCGGATGAGCCTGGATGAGAAGACACCCAGGAACTCCGACTCCAGCGAATAGCAAAACAAGAATTACGACACTTCAAGAAGACACTAACACAGAAGTATCTCCAAGCCGATCCTCGAAGGAGCTTTCGCCTTAGGGAAAGATTTCGCTTATCTGCACAGCTACAGGAAATGAAAGAAGGGGTTCTTTCCAAGCCAAGAAATACTAACGATACTAAAGAAGAAGATACACTCACAGCAAATACCAAGGAAAGAAAGCGAAATCTTTCCCTACGAAAACATTTAAGGATTTCGATGTCCAACACTACTTAGAGACACCCACAAGTAAGTATACATAAGTCTCGGGAAATACTATTGCTATATCTACTTAAAAATGCTCTGCCCCAAAACACTCTCTCCCCCACCCCCCAGAGGACACGTGGGGCATAATGAGGAGAAGAGCTGCCATTCCCCCCCACCCGACAAAGCGCACACAATGAACCCGGAACTTTATTATTTCTTATCGTCATCGAAATCCTTAAAGACGTCTAAATTGGGACGATAAAAAAAGCGAACGGAAACTGGAGAGAGAAACACACGCACACACACACACACTCAAAGGAGAACAAGAAATTTGCTGACTTTGGGGGGAGGAAAAAAAAACCAAGTGCAAACGAAACCGGGCCGAAACCGAGGCGAGGATTTCGAAAGGACTTCAAGAGAACGCACCGCGTGGGTGCCCAATTCTTCCGAATGAACAGTCCCGGAGAACGAACCCGAACAGAATCGAAGGGCGACGAAGGTTTATGCAGACCCTAACCGAAAAAATTTGTATGTATGTGTACACAAGCCCAGACTCCCAGAAACAGACAACAACAAAACTAAAGAAATAAAAAACACGAGCAAAGAACCCCAAAAGCCGCCAACAAAAAAAGTTGAATTCACTTCGTTGAGCAAAAACCAACAAAAAAAAGAGAAGAGCAGAAGAAAGAAGACGAAGAGAGAAGAAGTATACGAAGTAGGATAAGAAAAAAGTGCGGGAAGATGCAGGGGCATAGGGGAAGGGTGGGGCATGGACTGGGGCGCGACAGTCTGGCGTTTGCTGAAATTTGCATTTTTATTATATCAGAAGTCGCTTAAAGTCAATACACCGCACTGCTAACGGACGGACGGACGGTCGGAGGACAAAACCATTAGAGGACGTTCAAAGCAAGCAGTGGATATAGGTATAGGTCGTAGTGGCTAAAACAGCAAGCAGTTGTTGGAGGCGCAATCAGAGAAGATACTCCGCTTCGTGCAACAAGCAGATTAAGACACAGAAGTTGCAGATTGGCAGCAGTTCAGAAAGCATAACAAGCAGTAGAGTGTAGAGCATCGAATAAGTGGGAGGCAAGCAGTGGTAAGCAGGGATCAGGTGCAATCATCATAGGTCAATGCGAGCAAGCAAGCAGTGGAAAATCACTTGATGCACATTCATTTTCTTGCCACTCGCTTTTTTCTGCGTGGCTTTTGAGCTGGCTCCAGCCTGGAGGGCTCCAGAAGAGAGCACTCAAAAGCCAGCCCCTCACTCGTATGCGTCATGAGGCAGTCGAACACTGAGATTTGACTGGATGACGACTAGATCTGTCAAGTGAAAACGAACTGAAATTGAAAATATGCCAAATAAAAGCAGACAATCTCTCGATGTTTCAAATATAAACCAATATAATATTCCCATACTGGTTATCGCTGTTTTAAGCGGAATTACTGGGGAAAGTGTTAAGGAGTTCAAGTCGTATGCTTATTTCTATGGAAATATGGAAATCTTTATAGAAATTCCAGGGAACACCCAACATCTAGTGACTCTTATCTGTAGCTTAGAGCAGGCCATCTGCAGGCGAACTAGTGCAAATTTCATTCTCTGAAGATTGTTTCATTATGGTCCGTCTAGTTAGTAGGCGAAGTTTTTCGTCGAACACGAATCAATGGATTCGCCTGTGCCTGTGGATTCCCTGCTTAGGCCAGGGCCTGTCTGTGGGACGCTTCACCTTCGCTTTCATAAATTGAAATTGAAATTGAAATTATTCCCTTTGATATGTTTTCGTGCAACTAACATTTGCATAAATTAGACACCAAACTTTCCACATTTCGTTTGACACTCGTGACCCGAATTTCCCCAGCCCCAGCCCCGCTCCGTTTTGCAGTTTTTTTTTTCCACTTGAGTGTGGGAACAGTTGCCATTTTCCGCTTCCCTTTTCACTTTCAAGTTTGACAATCAAAGTGGAATTTCCCGGGCAGTTTTCCTACCTTATCCCTATTCCCCCCACACACATATAAATATGGGAGGGCGTCTGTGTGGGTTTTCTTAGTTTTCGTACTTGAATTTATTGGAATCACTTTGGTCGGGGGCCCGGGGCCAAGTCTGGGCCACTGCTGTGGCCTCAGCCAAACGATGATCGTTTAAGATATGCAAAGTACTGTCGTACGAGTCGGGTGCGCAGTTCCAGTTATTATTATTATAGCATTTTTGGGTCACTTTACTCGAGATTATTTCGTTGCTGATTGCGTTCAACTCTGCGTGTGTATATATAGAACGCTTCATGTAGCTCATATTAACGAATCTGAATTATATATAGCATACTCGTAGTAGGAAGTGCCTGTGACTCTCCACGAGCTCTTATCTGAGAGGCTGAGCCTGTGCCTGGGCCTGAGCATGGATGGGAGTTCCCGTCGCGTCGTAGAACTTGAACCGCATCGATATGGCTCATCTGTTCGTAATGGTTCTGGATAAGACGAGTACATATAAGAGACTTTTGGGTTTAAACTGCCACTGATAGTAATTATGTCCCTAAAGACAAATGGCACTGGAAGTACCGCTTTAGGCGTTCGGCTCTAGTCGCTCATTCCCTTAAGTGGCATCTGAGTGGCGACTATTGCGTTCCTGACTGTTTCGCATTCGCAGTCTTTCGTTTCTCCCGATTTTCTCTCGTTTGTCAAATTCCTGCTGCCCGCTGGCTGAGAGGAAATTTACGATGCAGCTGACAGCAAAAGTTCTGTCTGAGTGAAGAGGAAGCGGAGGGAATGAAAGGATGGCAGCTGCAACGATTCCGCTCTGCTTGGAGATGGCACACAGAAGGCAAATGGTTCTTGCCACACGAATCCACAGAGGCCACAGAGGTACGTCGGAGCTCAGATTCCAGCATAAAGAGTGTTTAAATGGCCCAAACTTTACTTACATTGATTTCTCCTGCTCGAATATTTCCGTAGCGAAGTTCTATTCTATTCGTAATCATATTGTCATCGCAGTAAATTAATTAAATTAATTACTAATTAAAAGCAAGAGGAATACCTTAGCTTTCATTTTCTCCGATTCATTTCATTCATAAAAGAACTGATTAAATAAGTGATACTTCAAGAAGAGTGTAGGACCTTGTCCAAAGATCCAATCGAAAGAAATACTAATCAACCCATCGCTGAACAAGTAAACGTGCTTATGTTAAATAGCTGCATTTAGGTACAGTTGTGTCAAGCGTTTTGCTGTGTTTGAGCACGTGCACGAACACGGGCACGAGCACGAGCACGAGCACGAGCACGAGAGTAGAGCCAACGCCAACGCCAGTCTGTGGTTCCGCTTTGTCGCGCGGGATATTGCATACTTTTCAGCTCTGGCGTTTCACTAATTATGCAAAAGCCCCCAAAGAACGATGGAGAAGGAGCGGGTGGAACAGAGAGAGGGGGGTAAGGCAGCCACCCAGCCATCCAGGCACCCGGCCACCCGGCCACCCGGCCACATTTGATGACATTCCATTTCGTGTGACTTTCGCGCATAGTTTGCACATTATTCGAAGGTCTGTCTCTTCGGCACGCTGCCACTTTTCCACTTTTCACCCCCTCTACACACCCCCTCCATCGGTCTCGGAAATTTCAAGTGTTGCATTTTTGGATCCCACTCGCATTTCTCCCCTTTAAATACTTGACAACTTATCTTTCAATTTTCCAGATTTTATTTAAGCCACAAATTAGCCCAAGCGAAAGTTCCCTTGGCGGCAATAATGATTGGAGTCAGATTACAGTGAGATATCCCTTTAGAGAAGAGGAATTCTTGACCTTTCCCCTGGCATTACTTTAGTATTTCCCATGGAGTAGAATCTACTTGGCTGACCTCGAATTGACCTTTTCGGTGCAGTCTACGTTCGGATTGACATCCACTGCCATCTTTAGAAGGAAATATACCAAAAATACCAGTCCTCTAAAAGGGTTCCGTACTACAGGCATCCGTCATATTTTCCAGTTTCCTCAGGGAACTCTTTGGAAGCTGTACGCTCCTTGGAAATTTCACTGTATATTGAATACGCAAATTATTTCGAGTTTGGCTAAAATTCTGACAAATTGTTTAACTGACTTTCGACTCGCCCCCCCAAAAACACACGATCCCATGCCATTCGCTCCGCGTTCGGGGCTCGGGGTTCGGGGTTCGGGTTTGGACTGAAAAGTTTTGATTAAACTGTTTGGTCCTGCCATCGTCACTCCATGCGCCATGCCCCAAACGGCCCCACCATCTCCGGTGGTTGCGCTTGACAAACTTTACATAATTGCTGAAACGCCCCGACCCGTGTACCCTATCCGCTGTGGCACTCCGATGGGGAGTGCCCATGTGGCATGTGGCACGAAGCGGCTATTGTACATATAAACACGACTCCGAGCTCTGCCAAAGACACTTTTGTGGACAGCAATTAAAATTGATGCAAATTAGCGAAGGGCCACAGCAATGCCGGCGACCTTGCCCCGAACCGCGACCCCCAATCCCAATCCCAATCACAGTACTCACCTCACGCTCTGTCTGGCCGTCGGCAAGCAAATCAATTTTGTTGCCCACAACCACAATGGGCACCGCTGTGGTGGCCTTCGTCTCGTGGATCTGGTCGCGTATGGCGCGGACCTCCTCGAAGGTGCTGCTGTCGGTAACGTCGTACACCAGGATGAAGGCGTCCGCCGAGGATATCGATAGAGCGCGCATCGCCGGGAACTGCAGGAGACACAGGGCAAAGACAGAAAGAGAGAGAGAGAGAGATAGAGAGAGTCAGAGTTAGCCGAGTGTTGAACAACGTATGCAAATTGTGAGTACAGCTACGGACACATAATCATGGGCGGGGGAGGGGCAAAGCCATCAACAACAATTGTTTCCTCAATGATAATTTGCATATTTTATATTGTCACACACACACACACACACTCACAAACCCTCTCAAATACTTAAACACATATGCATAAAACACACACGCACACACATACATATATATATATATATAGTATGTATACATATATGTATATATATATTTGAATAATCACGGATAATCATGTAAATTTTCGTTTTCTATGCCCGTTAAACATTTTCACACTTTTCAGTGAGCAATATTCCTTCCGCCTGGAAAATGTGCTACGTACTAAAATATGGGACGGCGAATGGGTAATGGGTAATGGGTGGATGGAGCTTGTGCTGGCAAATGGGAGAGAACAAAAAATTGAATTTCTTTTTTTTTCTGCGAGAATTTCTGGCATAATTTTGCAATATTTTCCTCTTAAATACTTAAAAAATATGAGCTTCATTCGTACGGTGCTAGTACATTTTTAATGTACAGAACAATCGTTTTCTTATGATCGATCATCTTTCATGCTTATTAAGATTATATAGCATATTCTCTGAGGGCGCAAAAAGCGATACCATACTTTAATGTTCTATAAATAATGTACAATTTTATGGAGTGAACTCTTAGCATCTCCATTGAGATGATGGCAGGGATTACGGTCTCTTAAGGGACGCTTTTAGGAGCACTAATATTCCCCATTCAAATAACCAGAACTGTACGTGCAAGCAGTGAACGCAACGCAAGCAGTGCGATTGATTCTTTCGTGGGAAGAGCGTAGGAGGGCGTTGAACCCGCCCAACATCGATTGCATTCGGAGTCGTTCAGCCGTGTTCGAGTTGTTCCTCTATTGGTGCCCATACCCATTGCTACATACGTGCTGTGCATAAGGTCCTGTGCCTGCGGAGTCCCCAAATTCGTAATTAATATTTGCAGAAAAGTGGCCTATGAATGCGAAAGGTTGCGGGTTTGTCAAGGGATGTGTGTGCCCTGTTGTTTAATTAAAAGTCCTTGATGCCCCACACACACATACCTGACCCTGAACTGCCGGCAGCTCCCCCCCTTCCTCTGTCATTAGATGCTCACAATTGTGGGGCCGCCACCAGAGACACCCAGAACCAGAACCAGGACCACACGGACGGAGACGGGGATGTGTGCAATTTGTGAATCGTGTGCTTAAATCTTTCAACAAGAACAACAGCAATCCAGGCGAATGGTTCCGCAGGGAGCCGGGAGCAGCCTCGCCGACTCCATTCAAAAATGGCTACGTATGGAATGCCAAACGAAATGAATCATGGCCAAAATGAAACGAATTAGAGCCACGAACAAGGGAAGCGTCAATGGAGTTCACTGGCATCGCCTTCATCTCTGGCCTGGGAGCTTAATTCTACGGGCGGCTCCCCGTTTCCCGTTTCCCATTTCCCATTTCCCATAACGATTCTCTCGTTTGTCTGACAGCCAAGAGGAACCGCAACCGCAGCATTTTGGCCAAAGCATACACACCGCACTCCGCACTCCGCAGTCCGCAGTCCGCAGTCCGTACTCCGCAGTCCACACTCCTTTCGAGCTACCTAACATACTAATGGCTTTCAAAATCATGCGCCCGCCGAGCTGCTGCCAAATTGAATACGCATCCACACCACGCACCCCCCCGTTAGCCACCGACATAGCCAACTCAGAGAGAGGGGGAGGGAGAGGGTGGCGGGCCCTCTATGGACCGTGTTAATAAAAAGGCAGTAGTCCACTGGTCAGCTGAAAATTGAAAATCCCAATGAAAAACCCCTGCAAACAAAAAACGAAAAGCACAACAAATACCGACTGGGGGGAGGGGGGCGGATACAAAGCCCCCTCGAGAACAATGGCCAGGCAAGCATCCTGCAGCTCAGATAAGAGAGGGGCAGAGAGAGAGCGAGAGGGGGAGGGGGGAGGGCACATCCCTTTACCTTTACTCGAACACCCAATGCGAAGACCGTGAAGAGCGCCCTGACCCGTTTTGTGTCCATAAATGGATACCGATTGGATGTCGCTATAAAGCAATGAATGGAAATGTTTCAAAATTGAGGTGAATTGATTTGGAGTACTCTATGCTTCGATAGGATTTGGGATATTGGTATATTAAAACCATTTGGAGCGCATTTCAACGATATTCGATTGTGTCCATCCATTGTGCTGCTGACTTTTGTGGCGGCCCATAAGAAGAACTCTTTCTACTTGTTATTTTAAGTGTTTTTCCGTTTTAAGCTTTTCCAAAAATCCTTCGAAAGGTATTCGTATTGCCAAAGTTGGGGCTTTAATTACGAGAATGTATGGGGCTCTAATAATTCTTGTCGGAACCGCAGCTTAAAGCAACACCCAACCCACTTCCATTAGGGACTTGCCTTTCCTTGGCTCTGCTTTCCCTGACTTTCACTTCCTTTTCCTGAGCTTACCAGCCTCTGCCAGCCGCCTCGCTCCTCGAAGACAACGCCAATGTTTTCATTTCATCAGAATGAGTTGGGAATGTTTTTGCATGGAACTGCCGGGAGAACAGAACAGATGGAAGTTGGGTTGCCATTGTTTTGATGGCATGCCCGTACTCGTATTATTGTACATAACACGCTCAAGACGGGCCCGGGATCATCAGGGGTGTAGCTGTGTTTGGGGAAGTCTCTTTTGGGAGCTACACATTCGTACATTCGTATATTCGAATGTTTGTGCATTCGAGGGCTCTGGCCCTGGCCCTGGCTCTGGTCCTGGCTCAGGCTCCGACAACGCTTCCCGTCCTCTGTCTGCGGTTTCCGCTTGTTTCACATGCGACAACCGAAGCACAACACCGCAATGATGCCACGCTGTTCCTGTCGTTGTCAGCTCTAGCTCTCCATTCCATTCAGACCCATGCTCCCTCCCCTCCCCTCCCCTCCCCGGCCCTCTCCTCGGCTGCCATCAGAATCCTGTCAAAGGCTTTGCCTTGTGCTCTTGATTTCTCAATGGACTCCAAATGGTTGCCACTTGGAGGGCTGATTGTGTGACTTTTGTTTCGCATTCTTCGATTGCGCCTTTCAACAAGAGTCGGCTGCCATCGAGCAGGGAGCATCCTGCATGCCAGGACACTTTGGTAAGCGTCGTCTCGGCAAGATCCAATTCAAAGGAAATTTCAATTCCAATACGAGTAGCAATACGAGGCAACAGCATTGGTGGATGGAGCACGAGCAAAAGGGACTGCCTGCTGGGGTAAGGGAAATTGCATCGAGTGTCTCGGTGCCTCCCTCCCAGTCGTACATTTCCATGCAATAATGAACTGATTTACTGCAGACATCCGACGGCTGGGTTGTCCATTACACAGAAACCCCTAAGATCTCTACGTCCAACATCTTGAGGCTGCTCCTGCTGCCAGACTGTTTCTTTTGATTGAGTTTCGGACTGTTGTTTAGAATATGGAAATGGATGCAACACACCTTTCCTTTCCAATTAGATCTGCATTCAGGGGAATGCGGGGACAGTGCAGAGCCGCTGAAGGCGCAGGCAAAGGCGACCGAGCACTTAGTTGATTTGGCTTAAAACTAAAACTAAATCGAAAACTAAAACTAAATTTTGAGAAACTTTAACTCGGTTTGAACTTTTGCTAACTTCATTTAAACGCAGACAATTGTTGCTCCTCGTACGTACATATGTGCGCCTTTCTTTCTCGTCTCGTTTATCTGTTTCTCCATCACCCTTTCTTTGTCTCTCTCCGGGCATGAATTTGTTGAAACTTGTTCTGAGGCAAGCCACTGACAGCTGAGGAGCAGCCCCAAACCCAGAACAAAAGCCGACCAGAGCCCTGGACTTGAGAGCTTCACTGTTTCCGATTTTGTTGCCAACATTCCATTGCTATTGGCCCTTAAGCGCACCTGGGTGCACCACAGATCCTACACATATGGCAGTGGTACCCCAAAGATACCATGATTTATCATTCATTAATCCTTAGAGTTAGGAATTGTGTCTTGAAGGGGGTCTTGAAATACTTTCCAGTACGATACGCAGGGCGGACGGTGGGAAACGCTTTCCATGTTTCCATTATGCGTACAATGTCGAACTGTGTTTTGGCCTGGAATCCATTAGATACTCGTAACGTACGGGTGTGCATGGCTGTAATGGCTGTTGTTTGGCTTCCTCCTGGAAGCACAGGGCACTCCCTGCTCCTGAGATCCAATCGGACCACAGAGTGTGTTGCAAGGCCACAGCAACAGCGTTTTTATTATTGATTTACAAAAAGCGAAAAGCAAAAAGATGTAAAATCCAATTATGTGGCAGGCGGCGACACGGAAACAGAGAAACGCGCTGGTCTGCCATGGCGAAGGAATTCGAGTGGCCACTGGGTCGGATGGCCAGCGAGTTGCATTATGAGCCAAATGCTGCATTAATTGCTGCCGCCTGCCTGCGGAAAGGGCATCCACGCGTCGACTCTGGCAGCGGCCCCGGCCCACACGTGCCACAGAGCCAGGTGTCGGCCGCGCAGTGTGGAAAATATGCTTTAAAATATTTGCAAATTGGAATTTTTAACCAAATACCATTTGCGGTGGGTAAACAACGAATTTTACGCCCGGCTCCACTCGTAATTTCTGCGTAACAAATATTGATAGAGACCCCCGGGGGCCAGTGGCAGCCACTGGCAGCCAGTGGCATGTGTGTCTGCTTGTGTGTCTGCTCGTGTGTCTGCTCGTGTGTGTGTGTGTGTGTGTGGGGCCTGCGGTCTGTTATCTTTGGACGCACGCAGGCATATCACTCATCCGCACAGTGCCACGGATCTAGAGAGAGAAAGAGAGAGGCAGAGAGTGCTTAGTCTTCCGTCGGAGTGTCAACTATTTGGCCAGGCTGCGGTCCCGTTCCAGCCACTGGCCATGAAGAGTGTGCGGTAGTTTATGGCCCCCCACCCCAGTAGTACAGTGCGTTTCAATAGTATATCATACATATATGTAGCAGGAATGTTTACAAACAATTTATAGTTCGATTGTCTGCGATGATTCCATTCAATATTCAAAATACTTGCAGCATTCAGACTTCGAAGGGCCTATGGCCTCGAAACGCACTGTACATTAGATGCTTATGTTTTTGAGTGTTTGTTTGCCTTTGCCGCAATGCCGTTTATGGGTGCCACTTGGCTGCAAATGATTGCGCATACGCACGGTGGGCCGCTGGGACTAGTGCCGGGAGAACAATAGATTGGACGGCAAACAGCGACCAGCGAGCAGCGGCGGCTTGAGCAAGATTGAAAAACTGCAGAGGCCTGCAATGCCACTCGTTACGGAAGGCTGCGAGAGCCAAGGGTGTGCGAATCGAGGCATATATCAGGATTATGGGACACCAGAGCTGACCCAGTCCCTGCTGCACCACTGTCCACTTTGGATTTATATTATTAACTACATATGTACACACATGATGCGACCTGCCACTGGGCGATTTATGCTTTTAACCTCTCGCTACTCGCGATTCGCGACTCGCGACTAGCGACTCGCCCCTCGCTACACGGTACTTGTGCGTCTCTCGTGGCGCCTGCTCTCCGAGGGATCGTAAAATTTATGAGCAATCTGTGAAAGTGATCAAATTTATACCCTGTTTGCGGCTGTTACTTGGGCCAGGGCCCCACCATTATCAGGTCCTTGTTTCGGTCTGTTCCTTTCAACTATCCACGAGGTCTGATTGTGTCTGGGACTGGGACCTGCCCTATAAGGATTCCTCAGTCCTGGCATCCCTGTACATGTTGCGATGCCCTGCAAATCCATTTCATTAGTAGCAGTGTTTCCAATTTCAGTTCCCATTTGCCAGCACATCTTGCAGCCTTTCTTTGTGCCCATCCCTCATGCCCGAACTCGCTATCGCATGTGTTCGATGTTCCCGCCATCGTTGCCGTCCTGATGATTCCATTGTACAGCACATAAATCGGACTGAGAGCCGCGCCAAGGACACGGCTGTATGGGGGAAAGGGTCCTGCCGCACCAGAGTCACAGTTCACTTGGCTTTGGCTCCCGACTTGACTGCACTCGCTGCCTGACTGACTCCATTTGCACCCATCCATGTAGCGACCATGTCGCCATATAGCCATATACTATATATAAGGCTACACGGATACAGGGATACACGGCGACGGGCCTCTCCATTCATGTTGCTCAACATCTGTTGCCGTTCGTTCTTCATTCTTTCATTCACTCGTTTTTTTCATCTTTTTTATTTTCCATGAAAAACCATTTCGTTTCGCGCCTGACGGAAGTGGCAGCGAAATTGAATCGCAGGCTGTAATTTCCGCTACACAAAGGGCACGCAGCTGGATGATGATGATGGCGATGGCGATGGCGATGGCGATGACGGAGCTGCTCCAAGACCAGAACTAGTGCTAGTACAAGCACCAGGACTACCTGGGAAACTCTTTGAAATATTGAACACGAACTAAATGCTGCTGGCGCCCTGTTGCAACCCATTAGAGGAGGTTATTTAAAATTAAAAGCACCGGACAAGCTCGAGGAGCAGCCAGCTAGCAGCAGCAGGGGCAGTGGCAGTGCTGGCAGGATAAACCTTCCGGTGGGAGCTCTTTACCAATTTTGATTCCCCTAATGAACTGTCGGAGAGAGTGGGGTGTGGCACCTGGTCGCTGGTCGTGCACTTACCTCGTAGGAGCCGGCCGTGTCGAGGATGTCCAGGGTGAGGCTGACGCCGGCGATGGAGAAGTTGCCCTGGTGCATCTCCTCGATGGTCCGCTTGTACTTTGGGCTGAATGTGTTGTATAGAAACTGTGTGATTATCGACGTTTTGCCCACCTTGGCGGAGCCCATGACGACGATCTTGTGGCGGGCATTGGCCGGTCCGATGGCATCGTCCACCACATTGGTCCTGCCCACTCTGCATGTGTATGGGTGTGGGTGTAAATGGGTGTAAATGTTGGGTGTTTGATGGGTGCGGTGCGTGCGTGTGTGGTCGGGGAGGCAGTGGGGAGAAAAACGTGACTTGAGTGAGTTAAATCCGATGCAATTCAATTAATTCTTATGCTAGTGATTCATGATTTAATATCCATCCCACTCCCACGCCTCCATTCCTCCTCCATTTCTCCTCCATTTCTCCTCCATTTCTCCTCCATTTCTCCTCCATTCCTACTCCTTTCCTGTACTTTCCCTTCTTGCCCTCCTATTGCTTTGTGTTTATTCCTTTACCCGTGGGGCGGACTTTATCCCCTGGGCGGCTCATTAAATCTGCGCGCTACATTTAAAATTAATCATTACGGCAAACATCGGAAAGCGACAGCGACAGCGACAACTACAACTACAGCTACAGTAACAACCACAACGAAGGCAGAAAGCAAACAAAGGGCCCAGTCGGATCTCCTTTATATCCCCTCCATATACATACGCACATACATCCTCGCAGGGAGTACCTATGTCCTTTATATATGGCTCTGTTTCAACTGGCGCTTCGTGTTTCGCTGTAAATTAATTGGGAATCGAGGGAATTCCATCACCAGCCGCTTAAAGTCAATTCCGCTTTAAAGTTCTGATCGAATCTGAGCGAAAAATGCCATAAAAATGAAAATCTTTAAAATAGTTGGATCGCTGGCAATCGCTGTCGCTGGATCAGAAATACTAGCACATTCTTCTGGGTTTGGTTAAACTTCTCGTTTATTTGACCCTTTACAGGGTAACCTCTGAACTTATATAATTTTAAAACTAATTAAATATTAAAAATAATTGCTTGGCTCCACAGATTGTGTTTCATAAGGAGTTTGTACAAAAAGAATGTATGTATCTGTGAATTATCCCTGAATGCAGAGGATACATCCTCTGTGTTTTCACGAAATTTGAAATTTGTTGTAATTTCTCGCTAAAGTAAAAAACAAACATTTTCTTGAGAAAACTTACACAAAGGCCTAACCCCCTCATCTGCATCCCACGTGCATCTGCGATAGTGCGTCAACTCTTCTAGGGTTAAGGTTCTACCAAGTAGAGTATAGCCTATAGATCTGGTAGTTGCAAAAGATGACCGGAAATGCAGTAGGAGAACGTCAGAACTGATATCGAATCGGGAAAATGGTCGGGAATGGCTGAATGGCGAAACGGGAGACGCGACAGGCCAACCAGCGGCGGGATCATATTTGATTTTAATAAGCGCTATTCTGTCCGTGGCTCCGTCGGTTCAGTTGTGCTGGAGCCTTGGGGCCCTGCCAAGGATTCTATAAATACGAGTATTTCTTTCCTCGACGCCGAAACTTGTGGAGGGGGCGTTACGTTGTAATCAAAGGCCCGAGTGAAAGGAGGAAACGGCGAAACAAAAGCAGGAAAAACATGAAATTCTTGTCCTGACAGCCGAAACAAAAGGAAAAGTATGCAAACTAAAAGGAAACAGAAGGCAGGGAAAAGGGAAAAGGGGCAACGATGTCCGGCCAGGAAATCAGGCGGGGACCGCCCTGTCCGCGACTCTTTCCATTTTCGTTTTACCCTTGTCCCGTGTGCCGTGTCCCCCGTCCCGTGTCCACCGTCCCCTGTCCCGTGTCCCTTTTCCCACTTCCCATCCTTCATCTCCCGTTTTCCTGTGCCTTTGGGTGTCTTCCATGTCATTCTTTGAACTTGCGAAGTGAAGAAATGAAAATGTTTGCCCCAAAGAAAAATGCAAAGATTCCTGACATGTACCCGAAGGACTGCCACCTCCAGGAGGCAATTGGGTCTAGCCCGACTGTCGAATATGAGCGGCCTACTCATCTCGTCCTGGACTCCACCTGACCACTACCCAGCCATTGTCCTTCTTTCAGGGCCAGGGCCAGGGCCAGGGCCGCTTCTGCCGCACTCGACATTTTTCCGGTAAGCTTGGAGTTTGCGACCCGTTGGAAATTCCTCTGCAATTATTGCGGACAGCGATTGGAGTTGGGCTCACCCCCGCCCCGCCCAAGACTTTGTGACACTTTGGCTGCCTCGCTGTCAGACTTTCTGTTTGGCAGCTCTGTTGCAGATGGTCCTGTCCGTGTCCCACGTCCCACATACCACATCCCTCGACCGGCAGCAGCTGCGGGCTTCAAAGGGGAGCCCGGAAAAACTGGTGTAAGCTTTTCCGTCTTTCGGCCTGTCACTAGAGCCCCTTCGAAGTGTGGCCGGAAAACTACATTATTTATTGTTATTAGTTGAGCTTTGAAATGAAATCGTTTGAGTTCTGCAACTAATGAGAAGCTTTTCTTTCAGTTTATTTGTGCAAGCCAATCGCCAGATGGAAACATGATGGAAACACTACTTTTCTGTACATATATGTAAATATATATGTTGTGGTGTTTCCGGCTCCCAACTGTTGGGTTTCTTCAGTCAACTGGCATCTAACAGCTGATTCCTGTCAAAATTTGAACAAGCCATTGCCATAGCCATTGACAGCAGACTTTCTCGTGGTTTGAGGTGGAAATGGGAAAAAGTGAGCTTCGTGCACTATTTTTGGCGGACGAAAACCAACACTGCAAGGCTAAGCCTGATAAATACTGAACGAACTCTGCCAGCCAGCCATTTCTATGGTAAAAAAGTGGTTCCATTTGGGCACCGGGCTCTGAAACGTCAGGCGGAACAACAAGGTTGCAATTGTGTGTGTGTGTGTGTGTGTGTGTGGGGGGGGAGTTACGGTTATGGATTTTGCATGCATATTCCTGCCCGTATAGGTGTGTATGCGTACATATGTACGTTGGCAGATGATAGCGGAAAGTTATTTAGCCATAACTTACTTGTCACGCTTCGGCTTATCCTCGTTGTTGTCATCCTTCATGAAGGACGGCTGCAGGCTGAAGCGTCGACGCAAGTGACGGCCACGCATCCTGCTGCTGTCTCTGTCTCTGCCGCTGTCGCTGTCGCTGTGGCTCTGGCTGTCGCTTTGACTGTTGCGGAGTCCGTCTCTGTTGCTCTGCTGCTCTGCTGCTGGTTCCCCAGGCAGGCCGTAAATCAACGTCTCAACGACGACGGCGACGTCGACGGCTCTCTCACACTCGGTTCTCTTTCTGTTTAGTGTGCCTTTATGCTGGCTGTCGGCGTTTGCATAAACAGCAGGAACTTTGTTGCCGTTGCCGTTGCCGCTGCCGCTGCCGCTGTCGCTCCTCTGCCCTATGCTTGGCTCTGCTTTGCCCTGCTTGTCTCTGCTATCACTCTGCTTCGCAGCCTGCTTTCCTCTGCTTGGTGCTGCTTGCGATGCGGTGCGACACGACGCGACGTTTTATTATCAGCAGTAAGTGTAAATGTATTTGTAGCCGTAACGGGCAATGGTTATGGCCACGCTAACGCGGTAGTTGGGCCTTAGTTTATTATTAGCCCCGTTAGCGTTTTCCTTCGCACACTCTCTCCTTCTCTCTCTCTCTCTCTCTCTCTCTCTCGGTCTTCCAGTGGTATGCAAATATTTGCCTGTTGCTACTCGCCTGCTGTTTCTTCTTTCTGCTCGTCTTACGTTTCGTTTTAATTACGTGACTCGATGATAATTTTCCTCGCCAATTTTCGTGTTTACCTGCAAATTGAAAATGTTTGGATGAGACAAAGCCATAAATTACAAATGCCCCACTCAGGGCCCCAACTTTTGCCTCTGTCGCTGCTTATCCACCGTGTCAGCATTTGTAAATTAAAATTAAAACGAAAACCATTTACTAAATAAAATAAGAAGCCAACAACAACATGTGCCATACAAACAAGAGTTTGTTCGGCCTTCTGCCGAAGCATTCGATACCCTTTAACGAACAAAAAAGTGGCAAGAGTGTCAATCCAACTCTTCAGCACTGCTTTCACTGCTTAACACAACACAATTCCAGGCAGTGCAGGCCCTGAAAAAACGAGGTATTTTTTGTTCAATTTAAAGCAGTGTATTACGATTATTTAACCCTTTGCTACTACATGTGCTATTTCTGCGCTTATAAGGTTTTTTCCCCGTACATGGACTGGTCTTGCATTGCCTGAAATGGGTCCTTACTCCAACTGCCTTCTCCGAAACAGGGTGCACTGAAAACGAGCTGAATTTCTGCGAAGTTGGCAAAGTTTGGAGATAATTAAGCAGAATGGATTTCACGGGTTTTCCTCACCCACTTGGCCATTTCAGGAAACACGTCCTGGAAATGACTAACAAATTTGTGCTTTTCCTAATAAAAGACCCCTTTAATAATACAATTTTACCCACGATATTAGATAATATTAATTACCTTTTGGGGATTCCGCACAGGGCATCAACACCACTTTTATTTTCTGGCCCCATTAGGGTACAAACAGGTTTGCGGATAAACGGAGGACTTGGTCGGAGACTCGGATTGTTGCACGACGAAAAATGTTACTTGAAGAGCAACATAATCTGGAGAACACACACTGACACACAAACACAGCTGCAGATACAGCTACACAGATACAGAGTCCTAGGAGGCACCGCGCCGCATAAATGCCTTGAAAAAGACGCGGAATCGTATCTGTGCTGAATATTTTACACTGATCCGCACTTCTCCCATATTCCATCTCGCCTGCGGCTGTCGTCTCTTGTGGCATGTGTATGTGTGTGGCACATTGAACTGTATTTAGCACAATGTGCAACAAGCAGCAGCAGCGAAGGAAGGAAATCATTTGAAACCTCCTTGAAATCTCATTCGGAGAATGGCTGATGCGGCACCCAAAACCCAAGACGGGACTCAACACACAGCACACTTCAGAGCGATTCAATTATAGGACATTATGCACACTTTGTGCCCGACAAGTGGATAAACTCCATCAGAGAAGACAGTGACAGTGACAGGGACAGGGACAGGGTATACGGATAGGACAGAGGATGTGCACCATATACTTTGATTTAAGAAAGTACTCCATGTGTTATAGGACAATTATTCGATCCTGTTTGATTCCCAAGAATTACTGATTCCAGATCTGCATATGTTTGAAATTATGTGGGGAAGCCCCTACAGATATCGAATAGGCTTTACCTTTCATAAATCTCAATTGGCACGATTGATCTTTTGGGTTCTTGTGGCATGGCCCTCGTGGGAGAGCATTTGAGATACGCGGTTGCGAAACTTTCTTTTCTCGTTCTCGTCGTGAAAGTCGGAAAAGCGCTTGAGCAAGCCAAACTTTTGACGCTGTATGGGTGCACGAGTATCTACGTCCATGGGCACTTGTGTGCGGGTCTGTGTGCACGGAGTCTTAGGACGAGTTGATCCGAAGTGCAAGCGAAACTTTGGTAGCGGCTTAGGAGGCCAGGCCCCCAAATTTGCTCAAGCTAAACGAGTTGCGGCATATTGACTGCAGTCAGCCGAATAAATGGATTAGCCCACGCTAGACCACGCTGGGAGGGAGCAGCAGCCGGGGGAGAGGAAGCGGAAGTCCTGGCAAGAAGAAGGTAAGAAGCGAATCGCCTGCCTTGCGGCTCTTCCTGTGCATTGTCTAGGGTCCTTCGCTTTACTGGCTGTGCGGCTGCGGCTGCGGCTCCGACTGCGGCCTCTGGTTTCCTCCGCCTCGGGCTCTGGGTTTTAGTTTTTTGTAGCTCTAAATTAATTTGTCAGCCTTTTGTTGGGGCTCTTCATTTTGTTTTTTTCCCCTTGCTTTTGTGCCACCTCTGTGCTGGGGAAAGTGCTCAACAAACAATGCTCCCCAGCCTAGAGCCAGAGCCCTTACGAAGGGCTAGAGCAAGAGCAAAAGCTCAGAGTTCAGAGTGAAAACGATGAAAAAAGTGGTTACTTTTCAATGGCTCTTGAACAATTTGATTTGCATAAACTTTTGCGAAAGTCAACGAAATTGCCAATACGAAATTTACTGCATAAGGGGGCAAGAGGTCAAGGGGACAGGGTCTATCCTGGTTCCTCTCTATGGTCGTCCCTTTGGATCCTCTCTGAGCGAGAACAGCAATGGAACCGACTGTTAACCGTGATGAAATTATACAAATTATGAAATTATATTGTACATGAAATTATATTAGTGCAGTGAACAATGCCAAATGGTGAATTGTAAAGAAGGACACTGCAAACAATTTCGATATACACTGGCAATAATAATGTTATCCGAAATATGCTTAACGAATCAATTGACCCGAATTGTGTCATAGTTGGAGACGGATCGACTAAAGGGTTGAGTGCGGAACTCGCAGGATTAAACAGTCCAAAGAGCACAGTAATAATTTGGTACATTACCTTTCACATTTGGTATATGTTGAACTCATTTAAAATCCCACTAAAATGGAGGATATTCTTCATTCGAAACGCCTGCTTTTCACTCTTCGTCCCTCTTCTTTTCATTTTATTATCTGGCACGAATGAAAATTCGATGCAATTTATGAATAAACGGAACGATAATAATAATAATAAATTATGAAACGGGTGTTGGTGGGGCGGTGGCTGGGCGGCACAGGGAGATCGTAAAAAAGAATTTCGAAATAAATAATCGTGAAAACGTAGCAGACATTAAACGAGGCGAATCCAAATGGAATTAAACGAGATGCGACGAGGCATTCGACGAGGCCTCAATGGAACAAATTATTTCGTTTTATTTGGCAGTTCCTGGAAAAGGGTATCGGCCGGGTATTCCCAAAAGTCTGTAGCGCCATGAAGGAAATCATTGCTCACGTCTAGAACGCGATTTGGTTGACGTGGCCATTTATTTTGGGCCATGGCAAGTCCCCTTCTTGGCCATACCACAATATATGCCTTTATTCCTGCCATTGTCGCAGGAATGATCGCTCTGTTGTTGGAATTTGGTATGCCTGGTTCCGGGAACCTCCTCCGCACCCGATTTAAAGCTTTCAGCTTCTTCTAACTTCTTTTTTCCGGCTGTTTGGCCAACTGCAATTTGTGTTGTATGCGCCAGATGCCAGATTAGTCCACAAACCCCTCCAACCCCACCCAACCACAGCCCAAGGCGACTCGGTATTTGTTTGCGAGTTTGTGCTGTGGGGCTGTGGCTGGGGTTCGTGCCCGGCCCTGAATGCATTGGCTCATCTGGTACTCTGGTACTCTCTGGCAGTCTGGGCCAACTGCAGAAACTGAAGGAACTGCAGGAACTGGAGGGTGTGTGCCAGGCATTCGAAGCATCCAAAGCATCTAACATTCAGCATCCACCATCCAGTAGCCAGCTTTCAACCAGGTGCAGCACTAAAATTGAAAGGCATAAATACTTATGTACAAGCATAAAGCTCCCCATGTACACGGGTTTTCTATGAGCAGGTGGATTGGTGGGTGGATGCCTGGATGGGTGGCCGCGAGGCTGGCTGCGATTCTGGGCTTGTTGCCGGGTGCATTAGGACTTGAGATGCTCTTCAAAAGAGCCACAAATGTTGCATGCATTTCCCCGTGCCACCGCCTAAACCTACGCCCCCACCTCACCCACCGCTCCCGCCAACGAATCCGTGTCCGCCTCTTATTTTTGCTTTTGTCGTTTGCCAGAGATCGCGTGCCTTATAATTGGGTGGGTTGTGTGGATTACAGGGCAGAATATTTCACAATTCCATTGTATAGAGCGCTTCTCCGCAGTGCCCAACGAAATATAGCTCCTACAATTGATTTCCTGGAACGGAAACTATGAAAAAAGTACCCATCCAAAAATGAAAAACGACAAGCGGAAATGCTGTAAGACGTGGCAACGGCCGCGGCTCTACTCTTATGCCCGGTGCTCAGTGAGTAAATCCTCTCCCTCTCTCTCCCTCTTTTCACACTAAGAACAGCTGTTATATCTCGCCTGCGCCAGAGAGCGCACACTGCACGAGGAAGAGTGTGTGAGAGAGGGAATGAATAGGCGCATGTAAGGGGCAGTGCAGCCCCCCTATATGTACATATATAGAGATAGAGGTTTTCACGCATCTTAAAGTTTGTAAATTCCACAGATGTTCGCTCTTTAAGGGAGAAACAAACTCGATCCTGTGTGAGGGTCTGTGTCCTATAGTCCCCATTTCTTATAATGGAAAATCTCTGGCCTATTCACAGCGAAGTGCAGGGGTTCGCGAATCGAAAATGATTACTGAATTTCCAAATTTTAGAGAATTCATGGCCCCCACGCAATTACGAGGGCCGGCTGATTATAAAGGGGCCAGAAACGGAGGGAGGCGGAGGCGGCAATTGATAGAGCAACAGGCAGACAGCATGCATCAAGGGGAAAAAGAACAAACAAAAGATAAACATCAGAATTCCTTTGGGGCAGCAACAGAAATTTCCTTTCCTTTCCTCTCCCTTTTTTCCTTGTATTCACTCGCGGTAGAATGCTAATGAATCAGTGGCATGGGGCATGGGGCATGGTGAACAAAGAGGTAGGACAGAGGGGAAAGTGGCAGTGGCAGTGTGGAAATCTGATGAAAAACAAATAAACAATCAGGGCCCAGGAAAGCACAAGAAAAGAAAAGCAAGAAAAGCAAAGAAAAGCAGTGAAAAGTAAAGCGAGGCGAAATGAAAATGTCACAAAAGAAACAGCATCGGGACGGGCAATGGAGGCCTGGGCCCTGAAATGAGGATGGGAATGAGATTGGGGGCATGTTCTACAGTAGACAAATAAATGACAAAACAAAGCCACACTTTCGAAGAGGCAGCCGGGTGGATGGATGGCGGCATGAATCCCTGAATGAATACGAAAGGCCTCTAAATAGATATGGCTGCTCGAATTTTGGCTCTGTTCTGTTCAGTTTATTGACTCGAAAGTGCTTAAAAATATCCTTCGACTTGGGCTCTGCAGAGAAGTTCAACAAATCCAAGCACTGGTATAGACAGAACACACAATATTTGATGGGTTTCGGGGCTAATCGCAATTGGTAATTGGAGAAGGGTGAGCAGTTCTTTTGATATTTGGCAATACTGGAAATTTAACCTCAAGTAAACTGCACTGGCATTAAAAGGGATTTACAAAATATCCCTATGATGAGTCGAACAGATTAGATAGCACACTTTTCAGCGCATTCCGTTCAGATGAATGGCCGCAAAACTAAACAAAAATCTGATTCAAACTCCTCACAATCCAATCTAAATTCGAGCTCTAAATATTTGTATATAAATCAGCCTGAACCCAATTTAATCCCACACCCATCGCATATCCCGAAACCAAAACCAAAACCAAAACCAATTTCCCATTGAATTTAACTTTTCTGTCACCTTCCACAAGGACTTGTCCGATTCCCGATTTCAGAAGTCTTTCCTATCCCACCAAAGTCCATAATCAAACTGAATTTATGAGTGGGAATAAGTATAGATTCAGTTTAAAGAGCGGCCAAGCCAATGACACTGTCCCCGTTCCCGTTCCCATCCACGCGCCCCTTCTCGTGGTGGAAACTTTTTGTTGCAACTAAATTGATTTGAATATTTATGAGAGGCAGGCGACACACTTTGATATGCCACAGTCGCACAGTTGTTGTTGGTGCTCCACCAGGGAGGAGGAATGGGTCCTAGGGGGGGGTGGGGGTTAGGGTAGATCGGCTTAATCGCAAAGCCGCAGCAAAACGAGGGCTCAAGTAATTATAAATGCCATTTTGTGTCGGTTTTGTTTAGCATGAGGAGGAGATAAGAGCAGTCGGCCCCCCTGTCAAGGCGGAGACAAAGACAAAGCACATGGAAGGGAGTGCGAGCGAGACAGCCAGCCAGCCAGCCAGCGAGGGAGTGTGGCAGAGAACTGGGGGCATGCATATTTATCATTTATGTAGGCACAAATTTGTGTCTGTGTCAGGAATGACACGAAAAAGGCAATTTAAACATACACACATCTACAACCTTTACAGCCCTGCCCCATCGGTGGTGCCCCACGCCAGGGCATCGGTGGGGAAGGGCGTCAAAGGGGGGGAACGTAAGCGGGAGAAGGGCTCTCCGCATCGCATCTCCTTTCTGTTTCTGTTGCCGCCGCAGGCGTTACACAAATTTCACACACACACACTCATGGCCAGGGCCAAGCCGCACCCGACCATTCAGCCATCCAACCATCCAACCAGCCATGGCCAAAACGAGGCACCCGCACTGTCAACAGGCAAACAGCCAAACAGCCAAACGGGCAACGGCACGAGCAACAGCAACAGCAACAACTACTGTTAATGCTTATCAGTGGCAACAAGAATCGAGCTGACGGGCGGCGACTCCAGTGCCAGTGCCAGTGGCAGCTCCAGCTCCAGCTCTAGTCCTGAGTCCGGAGCAGGGCTCTCGTCTGGTGCCCCACAGTGACGATGGAGACCAGCGGAGCGTCGCAGAGGAGCCAATGACCCGAACAGCCAAATGACATTCCGGCCCCTACCCATACACGCACACACAAATACACAAACACACGCACACGCACAGAAACAGGCAGTGCAGACACACACTTTGTTATCAGACAGGGCCATGTGTGGCGCTTGTTGCTTGCCACAGTGGGGCAGGAGTGCCGGTTGCGGGGGCAAAAAAGGCGAAAGGAATTAAAGCGGCAAATTGAATTTTCAACTTAAGGGCTTAAAAAACAGAATGAACTTTGCCCTAAATAAGAGTAAACTCCGCCTAGTCTACTCCACTATTCTTGGTCCTACGGAGAGTATGGAATATATTCATTAAAGCTTCGAGTCGGACCCCAGTGTGGGGCAAGATAGTTTAGATGGGTTGCACTCCATTCAACTGGGGATTAGGGCAACTTGTGTCACATCAAAATGGAATCCTTGTGCTCCTCTTTTGGCTCTAGTTTTCCTCTTTATATTTCTATTTTCTTTGGCCCACCGTGCAAGAAGCGGTTGCTTTTCGCCAAGTTTTTCGCTCTAGTTTCCGTTTCTTTTCGCGAAACTTTTCCCCCTGTTCAACTCCATCTTGATGCCTGCAACAGATTCCGCCGATGTCTGCCCCCAACGTACCAGTGCGGAACAGCCAGCACAGACAGCAGACAGAGCACAACAGATACGAAGAGGAGCGGCAACAATGACAACGACAACGATAGTGACAGCGGCAGCGACAGCGACAATTTGTGAGGATTTTTATAGACAAGCGTCTTTGTGGAGAAATGATGACCCGGTCTGGTAGGGCCATGGCTAGGCCTCTCCGCCGGACCTCCCACTCGCCCATTCGCCCATTCGATGGGTGTGCGAGGGAGCACTGTGCGTGCTTGTACTAATGAGACAATTTCCACTAGTTTCGTGTGCGTGTGTTGACTTAAATTGTATCCCCTAATGAACTGTCCCCGCAGCGCGAACGCCGCTGACTTGTTGCTGTTGGCCCTGTGCCTGTTTCTCAGTCGACAAACCCCTCGAAGAATCCCTACACCCACACACCCACCCGACTTCGAGTCCGACTACTATCCGCTCTCATGTGACATTGTTGCCATTTCAATTAGTGTTCCAAAGCGAGTGTTCCAGCATTCGAGTGGCAGCGAATCAGCGAACCAGCGAAAAGGCAAATGGAATCAGTTCTGGGCCGATATTCAGGATGACTGACTGATAACCGACTCCTAACATTCGAGAAAATCTGAAAGATTGGTTTGTTTTGTTTCCAATTCAAAGGAAAGGCAATCCGAGTTTCGCACCAACATTGACTATAAATTCCAGGAAAATCTGCAGCCTCCACTATTATTAGATATTTTCCCATTTGCCATTTTCCATTTCCCATGTGCTGCTTGCCATATAAATGTGTGGCTGCTGCAATATACATTCCATTCAATTTATTCAGTTGGAATTCCAGTTAAAATTTCTAGTGAAACAATTAAAAGATTGAATAGCTTACTTTAATTGAAGCATAGTCCATATATAGGTCTATATATTTCCCTAGATCCTCGTCTCGAACTGGTATTGTGTGTAATTCTTTTTCGATCATTTGCTGGATGGCCTGGAGGCCTCTCTGGAGGTCAATCTGCCTGACAGACGATGGGCTCGAGCCAGATAGACACTTGGGCTGGCCTAAGAGCCCCTTCTTTATCTCCACTCCACCTATGTTTTGTTTTGCCCCTGCTGGGTGTCTCCCCTTTTCTGATTGAGCTGGTTTAATGGCAGCCGAAAAGGAATTTATGTGTGTGTCTAAGACAAAAGGCCATTAAAATAGCAAGAGGCAGCTGGAGCAGCGGTGGGGCCACGGCCACACCTCCCGGGATGAGCCATAAAGGAAGCCATTAACCGATCTGACTTCATGGCCTATGCCAAAAAATGTATCAAAAGTGTTCCACTTCATTGGATAGCATCTCCCAGCTCTAGCCCATGAACGCTGCTCCAGAGAGCATTGTGGATCCCCAAGAAGTGATCAGAATGGAGGCACGGGGGTATTGCCATGGCATTGATGAGTAATAGGCCCAATCGCCAGTTGTTGGCCCTGACAATGGGGACAAATGCAGGCGCAAACGCAAACACAGACAGCCGCAGATACAGATACGATACATGACGGTTTATCTGGCGGGAGTATAAATATTTTATCGCATTATCGATTGCGATTACTCAGTTAATGAATTAAACACACATACTCGTATATCCAGATATAGTCATGCATACTCCTAGAATACACATGCCCGATGCCCGATGCCCGATGAGCAATGTCCAAAGATGACACAAATCTATCCGTTCACAAAATACAAAAAAATTACAAAAAACGAAGAGAAAAAAAGATAGAAAAGGGAGTACCTAGGCATTCGGTGGAGGGATTCCTGCTCCTCAGCAAGCAACTGGGACAAGTGCGATAAGGAGGCGGCCAATAATGGCATAATAATAAATCATCGCACACAGACACCCATGTGGAATTGTCTAGCTCCTCTGGAGTCGAGGCCCCACATACCCTGCAGATTAGAGTTGTTCTTCGATTTGCATTGTCTTTCGATAAGTTATTCAAAACAATAGTGAATCCCCAAGCGATCCCTTGGATGTTTTCCTGCCAGATATTATGATGCATGAATGGGAACGATCTTCCTCTCCATAATTGGAAGAAGGGTTTGGAAGCATGGAACGCGTTGTAACCGCAATCCCGGACGCACAACTCTCCCGTTTCCAATTTCCCGCTGCCGTATAGCCCCATTCCCACATAATTTATGATATAATATCACAGAGAGAGAGAGAGAGAGAGAGGAGAGTTCACAGCGAAAACGAACGGACGAATTTCATTGAATTAATTATGACAAGCGATGAGTTTATTTATGATCAATGTAGATTACAAATGAATTATCGTTCCCGGATCGATGGATGTTGCGGTAGCTGAGCGATATCTACTATGGCTGGAGGCGGGTTGTAGGTCTGCTAATCTTTCGAAGGGGAACTGCACACATATCTAGAATACTCGTAGTATTGTATTCCATCCCGAACTTTCCTTCACACAAATTCACAAATTTATTTGTTACAATAAAATTACACGCTTATGCTTGGGCATTCAGTTTATTCGATTGATAGAAATAAACCACAAAATATTGAGAAAACCATTCGAACTCCGATTGAAATTTCGAAAGCAATTAATGGATGATTGAACAATCGTTGTTTACCTGCTTTTGGGGGTGTGGATTTCCTGTGCAATTTTCTTTTCGGCAACGGATTGCTTTTCCGTTTGTTTGCTTGCCTTGGTTTTCAGTTAATGTTCATAAAACAATACTCTTAATTAGTTGCACTCACAAAAACACAAAAAACAATCTTGCAATTGATCTTCAAAAAAAAAAAAACCAAAAAATTATGTTTCTTAGAACCAGAAGATGCTGAATATTTGCGACTGAGCTCGGCTCTGGCTCCGGATCCGGCTTCGGCTCTCACTGTGGCTCCGTCTGTTTGGATGCTCTGCTTCTGTGGCTCTGGCTCTTGGTTTTGGCTCTGACTCTGGTTGTTGCTCTGGCTCTGGCTCTGGCGCTGGCTTAGCGGTGCCAAGACAACACGCTGCGTCGAGTTCCCGGGAAAAACTGAAACTGAACAAATGTTACACTTGATGCATGCGCTTGGCGCTCGGTGCTCGGTGCTCGGTGGTCGGTGCTTGGGGCTCGGTGCTCGGCGCCAGGCGGTGCCCGAAACTCAACCGAAATCGGGACGGAAGCCGAGACACCGTAACGTAACCGAAACTGAACTGAACTGAACTGAACCGAACCGAACCCGGGCCCGACCGAGTGTCTGCCTGACTCCCGAAGTGTGCCAAGGTGAGAGCCGTTTCGGCGGTGGGGTGCCAGGGAAAGCGCCACAAGTGCATGCCCAAAACGCAGACGAAGGAAGTGCCAGAGCCAGTGCCAGTGCCAGTGCCAGTCCCAGTCCCAGCCCAACGTTGGCCAGAGTGGAGGCGGAGGCGGAGGCGGAGCGGGGTGGAGGCAAACGTAGAGGCCTGGCAGCTGGCTGTCAGTCAGGCAGCGGCTGGGGAAGCGTCGGTCGTACCGTACCCGAGCGAAGCTTTGGCTGAATGGAAGCGGAGTGGAGCCACGAAGCTTTCGCAGCCAGAGCTTTCCTCGCGCTCGCCCTCGCCGACTGGCCGCCTCGCCGCCTCGCCGAAGTGTTTGTATGGGCGGATGGTATGGTATGTGGGCGGGTGGGTGTCAGTTTAGCTGTGTGTGGAGATGCAACAGCCTCGAAGTTCCCCTTCGATTCCGATTCCTGCTGTTGCAGATACAAATACTAAGAGATAGGATTGATGGGAGCTACTCGCATTTGATTGGTTTCTAACACGGGAGAAATATAATGAGCCAAACATATAGAACCAAATGGTTAGAAATAGATAAATTGGAAAGATATATACGAGTGCTATATGTTGTCATGAAGGAAATGCCGATGCGTAGGATGCTGCATAAATATTTGTATAGAAAACAGATTATCGTAAACAGATTGAACAGATATGACTTTAACTAGATAAATCGCAAAGGTGCATATAGTTAAATATCAACAAAAAAAAGATATGTAAGACTTCGTTTAGTTCTTAGAACTGAAAATAGGCAGCAATAACAAAAGAATGTTAATTAAATTAGGTCTGTTTTTATCCAAGTTTCACAAAAATGTTCAAAATAACAAAAAATGTACTTTATGACTTCAACATTTAACATGTTTTATCTTTATTTGTATCATTCATATTTTCCATTAACAGATTACATTTTTTAAAATCATTCTTCATTCTTAGAAATCTCAAGCTATAATTCATCATAAATGCCTCCTCCTCCTCCATAGGCAACCCTTGTATATCATGACTCAAGACATGTCTTTGAAACCTTCGCCTTCAATTAAATGAGAAAAGTCTAAAATTTCATGGAATTCACATTGTGGAACTTTTACGGGAGCTTTGTCCCTTTTTCTGTCGGTGTAAAAACTGCAATTTGTATATTTTATTTATTAACTTTTCGATTTAATTAAGCTGTACAACTTTTACACATACCACAAATTCTTTGTTCAGACTCCCCTTTATTTGGACGCCCCCATGCGTATACGTATTGTTTATTGGATTATTTGATGCATACAAAACAGCACGCAGGCCTCAGTGGGCAAAAGATGAAAAGTAATGATTGCCGCCAATGTCCAGGCTTATTGAGGGGTGCCCACAACCGGCGTAGATGACATTCGACTGTATACGGTGCATACGTATGTCCTGGATGGATGGGAAAACTACGATACATTCCAGCTCTTAGGAAAAAAAAGAGATAAATGCACGAGATGCGATAAAATGTTCGTTGGGGCACGATAATACGAAGGGGCAAGCTGCAACCGGAGAGTCTCTCTGCTTGAACCGGGCAGGACTCAGGCTGCCCACGTGGGTTCTGGCCACTTTGCAGGCCACCTTGAGCCGTGTTCCGTTTCTGAGTAACCGTAGCCTTTGCTGTCGCACCTCTGCTGCGGCAAGGCTTTGCCTTAACCCCTGCACCGATGCATAGGGGGCATGGGACAGTCTCGCAGCTGAAGTTTGTAATTGCAGAGTCGTAAATCTGTTTAAATTAGCTGTTAAGCAGGTTGTCTGCACGATGAAGTTGCATCCGCCATATACCGTTACCGTTACCAGCAGCAACAAAGCAGCCGCCTCGTCTACCTGCCTTACGCCTTATGCCGCATGCTGCCTACTGCCTACTGCCTACTGCCTGCCACTTGATAGTTGATAGTTGCAGGCGGGCATCGGCTTGTGTTGGCGATATAAGCCTGGGCCCGGGGCCTCCATCTTCTTTGTCATAAGAAACTTATGGTGTGCTCGCCGTTGCTCAGGTTCCCGCTGCCTGACCCCTGGATTCCCACTTCCGACTTCCCACTTCCGACTTCCGGCTTCCGGCTCCAGGTTATGGGGCGCAGTGTCTGGCCGGATAATTGCCCCCGCTGAGAACATCATATCGCCACCGTATTTATTTACAAGCTGAATGCAAAGTACTCGTGTAGGAAAGCTGTGCGCTCCATGAAATACCTCTCTACTGTCGAATTGAATGGCAAAACGATGGTTAAACGGTGCCAGGAGCAGGCCTGTGGCTGGCCAGAAGTCGAACAAAGTTGCAGCAGCCGTGCCCCTGGGGGAATGATCCCACTTCGCACAATTTTGTATTTCCCACATCCACTTGTGCTCTCTCCATCGCTCTCTCTCACTCTCCGAAAACTTTTTAATTTCCATCCGTACTCGACCCTGAAAGCGACAATTGAATGAAGCCGCAGAGCAGCAGATTCCCATTTTCCCGGTGACTACAAAGTCTGCTCTGTCGGCTGGGCTCTCCAGGTGTCCGCAATGATGGTCTTGAAATGGAAAACAGTAGGCACTTCCCCCAGGATATCTCGAAGAGTCTTACTTACCTACCTACCTCTCTGGGAGGCCACTTACATACATCGAGCCATTCATAAGTAAGACGTAGTGGCCCACCGTTCTGCAGATACCCCCAGTATAGCCAGAAAGTTTCTTCAGCCTAGCATCTGTGATCCTTGCCCGGCAGAATCCAATTGATTGCGATCCCCACTTGTCCGTCAGTGTTTAATCTTATCACAAGTGAAATAAAGCAATATATTTGATCAAAGCTCCTTCTGCGCCATCCATGTTGGTAATCTCACAGCCAGCGTGTGGCAAGTGGGGCTCAGACAGCGCAGATTTCGAATGTGCCGAATGCCACACCCGCACCAGCACCACCATCACCCCTACTGACCTTCATCATGTGCCCCTCGTCCTCGTTCGCCGTCTTGCCCCACACAACAATCACATCTGCTAACATGCAAATCAATGTTAGCTGCAGCATCTGCCTGACTGTCTGACTCTGTGTATGTTGCCCCCCCGCCCCCTACTGCTGCTGCCACACCACCGTTCGTCACCATTGATTCGATGTGTGGGCCCAGTCGGTAAGCGGCTTGTATGTGCATGGCATGCAACATTTTCGCTTCGCCGCTCACTGGGAAAATCAACTCGAGCCCCTCCGGCCCATTCGTACTCGCCCCTCGCCCCTCGCCCCTCGCCCCTCGCCCTGCAATGCCACACATTTCCCCTAATCTAGGCCCCCCCTCCACCGCCGCTGGTCCCATATTGCCCAAGCATTTCGAAGGGCACACAAAAAATGTCGATTATGATTCCTGGGGCATGGAATGCGATGAATGCGGCGTGGGATAGGGATTCTATCGGGAGACCATCCCATTGGTCAGCGTAGAATTGTGGGGTAGCAGAGAGAGGATAGTATACGATGGGATAGCGGAAAAAAAACAGGAATATGGGATTTAAGATTGTTGGACAAAATCTAGGAAATGGCGGGTACACATAAGGAAAGCATGGTGTATTATGGCATAGAACTTAATATATGATAAACGAAAGTGAAGAAAGTAGAGAAAGTGATAGATTTAAAGAAAAACATGTGTTGTGGCTCCGAACCCAATCAAATTGGTTGCTGAATTGGTTGTACACCCGGTCTTCTCGTTACGTTTTGCACTTGTCGCCTGCCGCAATGGCTGGTTGTCTGTCTGTTGGCTGTCCACCTGCAGGCCCCTGGTATCCGGCCCCCAGCCATGCCCCATGGGCACCCACCATGCTGCCCAGTGCGAGCAGCATGTAAATGAAGTCTCGCTGTGCCTGTCTATCCACCATCCATCCATTCATCCATGTGGAGCCAGACTCCGACCCCGACCCCCGTCCAGATACCGGCTCTCCGTCTGTGCCACATGCCAGATGGAAACAGTTCAATCATAATAAACTCCAAGTCAATTTTTAATGATACAAAAAAGACAAATGTTCGTCTTTCTCACACTCTCTCTCTCCCTCTGTCTGCCCCAATCTCTGGGGGCAAGCACCGCATAAAGCGGCATAAATTTGTTGCATATGTTTAGGCGGCAGCTTGGGGAAAGCCGAAACCGAGGCTCGTTGCGGAGTTCCTGTAAGTCCCAGTATTTAATTTTAGGAGCTGAAATCGCCTTCAATAAAATGTAATAAATTCACAGCCTGACGGAAGTTCGATTAATTCCGGGGAGCCGTTTGCTTGCTCCCTAAATTTGGATTCATTCATCAGGTCTGGAAGTCGTCTATTCAATGAAATGAATAAGTCTGAATAAGCTCTTTTAAAATATTCCAGTTTTATGAACATCCTGTTACCGCCATGGAAACTAGGCAGCCTTCATTTATTTTCAGTGGAAGTGCAGTGTCCTGTGATCAAAAGGATTGCATGGAAGGACTTCAAAGTTTTCAGAATCTTTCGTGCTCGAGTCGAACGATTTATCCTGGGAAACAATTGGAAGGTGAGACAAATAAAATATGAATGAATTCCAGGGAAGCAAGTGGGCTTGCATTCATTCGCTGAATATATTATATTTTCGGATGAAAGACATTCGTCATATCATAATGTCGGCTTGCATTCACTTTCACATTCGCACAACTGGAGGGAAATTATTAAATGTTACAGTTCGGTAAAAAATTGGATCAAAAGGGATTGCCTTCGTCGCCGCCTGCCCGCGACT